ATATATGGCCTTCAAATTATTTAAGTATAAAATATTTTATTCAAAATATATATAATACCCTTCAGCTTTGAGACAAGCATTGCAGCTATCGATGAGAAGACGAGTAGCTATCTGACATTATGCGTCTCTAATTTTTTCGTATGCTTGTATTATATTCCGTTTTAATAAATGAAAGTCAAATTAATGGATACTTGATACATTTTATGTTTCATAAATAAGATTTATTCATAAAAGTTATTTTGATATTATTCTTTATCTTCATTCCTTTGTCTTATAATTTAAGACGTTAATATTTCTTAAACAAAGCGTTTGTGAGCAAATTTCTAGAGAAAAATTTTATTTATTTTAAGACCCTAAATTCATATTTCAAGTTTGGCGGTTTAACCCAAGAACGTCTTGTACATTAATAATTATGGTGGAAAATAAATATTGTAAGATTTCCTGGTCCATTTTGTCTGACGTAACAAATGGCGTATGGCAACAATTTACGGAAGCATTCATCAATTCCAGAAAAGCGTCTACCCTCTCGTCAAACAACAAGATGCTGATATCTTCCGAATCGATTTTACATTCCGTGACTTCGCTTTAGCTACGTATAAAGGGAGCTGTGTGTATTCCGCGTATTTATGAAACTACAAGCGATACATGCGTGTCTACACATGCTGAAGTCTGTTCCCTTCGAATTCACATAAAGGTAGTATGAGGAATGGTCGAATTATGCGACATATTGCACGGTTCGAATCCGCCCTCACGCACATAGTCGGATATTCGGGAAGAAAAAGCGGTGTTTATAAGCAAGGGAATTTGTTTCGACTGACTGATTGCGCATTGCTTTGTGCTACAAAGGTGGATATGTTATTGGATATTGAAAAGTTCAATTCGAAACGCGATCAACCACCAAAAAATATTCTCCAACGTATGCATTTGATTCAATTGGGAAGCAATTTATTCCGATTTTTATTACTATCTTAAGAGTTCAATAATTTCTTCGTGTAAAGAGCTAACCAAGTTTATTATGGCTATATTGTTGATGGGATTTCGAGTGAGATCGATCATGCTCTGCGTAAAAGCTGGAAATATGCTTGAATCAATCACAAAGCCAGTCGCGAGATTAAGCTGCACAACGACCGTTAGTCTCCTTTATTGATCAGAAATGCTTTACTGCTCGCTAAAATTCGCTGCACGACCTTTTGGGGTGATTGGAGATTAGGAGGCTAATGTGCGGATAGCTTTAACATTGTGGAGGATATACGAAAGATAAATCAGCAGTTTCAGGAACGACCATTACAGCACAGGCATCGAAACCGTATAATTAATCGAAACCACAGTTTTAAATGTTGAAGGCTTAATATTAATAATATAGGGCAAAGTGGAGCTTTTTCGTCCATTTCTCGCAATAACGTTTATGTTTCTGAACAGTACACGTTGATTATTTAAAAATTGTACTTGTATTCTCAAAGAACAATTGTACACTGCAAAGAGATATTGTTTGCAATCGTAAATTTTATTACTTTAAAATTGAAACTGACGGAATAATTCCGTCCTACTTTATTATTAACATATTTATAATTTATGTATTGTATATAAAATGCATGTAACATTAATGTATATCCTTGAAGTAGAAACGTGAGCCGAAAAGCGAATAAAAACCGCAAGATATTCCATTGGCCCTGACATTCAGCCCTACTTTGCCCAGATGATGATAATGCTTTTAATCAACATAACAAGCTACCTCAAACCTGACCTCAAAGTTGGCTGCATAAATAATCATGAATAGGACGACCATATGCAAAACCATTTACGACGCGGTGGACGAAATCACGCGAATATCGCGAGCGGAAATTTTCCAGAAAAATTTGATGGCGCAATATCGCTATGAAAAAGGCAATAAGAGTAAATTGACGTCTTGGGAAGGGGGCTCGGGGTGCTCGAATACCAAGCTGCCGTCGCCGGCTTATTTCGTCCCGTTTCTCGGTACCGTATCTGTACTCCAGAGTACCTTCCTCTCTCCCTTTCTCGGTACGTTAGAGGGTGAATTGAGTGGCGCAAGGAAAATTATTAAACAGTTCCTTTAGATCTTTCCGCGGCTCGCGAGTGCATTAATTTATGAAGATATGAGAAATAAACTAAAAAAGAATAGCTAAAAAATATTATTACTCTATGAGATTAGAAACACATTATAAAAGTGTGCAATTTAAGAAAAATACATAATAAAATCGATATATATTTTAATTTGTAAATAATTATTTAATTGAAAAAAGACGAAATAAAGGTATATACGTTATCTACAGGGTATGTCGTCTAACTTGATCACCTAAAATATCTCCGTTGTTTTGAATGATAGGAGAAAATACCAAAGGAGAAAGTTGTCAAAATCATTTTTTTTTTAGACTTTAAGGTCAACTCCACTTTTTTAAATGGAATTGTATGATTTTTTTTTTATACACAATATCATTCCCCTAATTATTCTGAATAAAATGATATTAAAATAGTGAATAAAAAAATCAATAATTTACAAAATATTTTATCTTATTCTGACATATATTGACATAAAATGTTAAATAACTCGTAATGTGGAAAGAAAATACATAGTTATTTTAAAAAAAGTATGTATGCAAAATAGATTTTTTAAATAAGCGGTTAATGTTTTTATTTCAATCAATTGATTCATCTCATTATTCTGTTCATAAAAGTATTAAGGTACGATTATAAAAAACTTATAAGTTATTAATAGTTTACGAGTGATGACTTTGACTCATCAAAAGTGAAGTTTCGAAAAATATGATCTTGAAAAAAATTTTTTGCTTATAATATGCGCCCTTTCGAATCAAACTTTTTTCTTTGGTATTTTCTCGTATCATTAAAAATAACGAAAATATTTTAAATGATTAAATTAGAGGAGATACCCTGTATAATAATATGATATTCAAATATAGAATTTTAATTAAAACGTGATTCATACGAAATCTAATTCTTCATTTTACAATTTTTACGGAGTCTGAAATCAACTCTGCGATCAACTCAAATAGTTTATCACTTTTATGGAAACAATTAAATTACAATTAAACGACCTGTATATACGCAAGCAAGTACGACAAAAGTGACAATACCAAAGTGCGAAATTCAACTTTGAGTGTTCAATGCTGTGAAATAATTATCCGCCATCTTTTTGGCATGTACAAACTTATAAATTATACGTATTTAAGCTTCGGAGCAAAGCCATTGAGATAAAAAAATCAATATGGATAAGATTTCGGAGACTGTAAAGTGTTGATACGAGCGACGCTTATCAATACTTTACAGTCCATGAAATTTTACTCACATTGAATTTTTTTGCGTTGATAGCTTTACTCCAAGGAAATCCTGTTATAGATGTTCTAGATAAAAATGTTTATCGTCATTTAGACATCATATGATGTATTTAAACCAAAAACATGTACATTGAGGAAAAAATATAGTTAATTTTAATAAATATTTAGTTTTCAATAATGCCAACTAAACATTTACTTACAGTAAATGAATATTGTTCAGTACAAAAAAATGATTATTAAATCAAATTAACATTTCTTGTATCAAATATATAAATATATCTTTATATTTAACAAATATTTAGTTGGTAGTATTTTAAATATTTATTAAAATTGACTATATTTTTTTTCAATATGTAGATTGCTATCATATAATGATTTTCCTGTAAAACGTAGAGTGTTTCTAAATTTATGGCGAGTATTGTACCTATTCAACAATTTCTATCAATAATTCTTTAAAAGTTACAAAGACAAAGTGTTTACGTAAGAGCTTGTAAATTTTAAAAAACTTGTAAATCGTAACAGAACGTTGAATGTTGCATTGAATTTGGGATTCCTCGTAGTCAGCACGCCGTCACCGTTGCCCAACGTGTGTTTCCATCTCGCAGATTTACATAAGTGACTTATGGTCAGCGAGTATTACCCTCGTGGTAGGCAGGGTCGTTCAGTCGTATCTTTGATGCGTCGTACGCGCGGGGATTTAAATGAGGGACGGTCGTTAAGGGAACCGGTGTGAAATATCACGCGAAAGTATCTGCTTTCGTTATTCGCGGATATTCACGCGTGATGTTTACAAAAGACCAGACGATCCAATTCTTCCTGTTTTCCAGCAACTTCTCATTTCTCATCGTTAAATATAATTTGCAATTATATTTACGATTTTTAAATTTTATGATTTATCCAGGCTTTTTTATTTTCGTCTATCAAAATCGCGATTTGACTAACAATATGATGTAATCCAATGAAACAATTAAAAATTCATCATCTGCGATCAATATATATACCTCCGCCGACGATAATGATCGAATTTCGACATTACGTTAACCGTTCGATTAATTAATTCGACAATACTTCCCTAATAGAGTGGTTGCGGCATTCGATTAGCCATCGAAATTATATTCATTAAATCGAGAAAATACATTTCCATATAACTACTAGGTATCTCCGTACTTGCTGAATATCCCATCGTTTGCAAGCTATATTACTGTCGCGCAGATAACGCTTCCAGGTTCATCGTATCCAAGATTAAATAACGCGAGGCCAGCAGAAATTTTCACAGTGATATATAACGATGTGACATGTGATCGCAGATTTAATTTAGAGATTGTACATCGCCAAAGCGAACGTAATACGATATGTGACATGAGTGCGTACGACGCAATCATAATTACGTTTGCGTGTGTTGCCAATTTTTCATACATAATTAGCTGTCATCAATTAACGCTTACGTGATGCTATACGAAACGATGCTATTCTATCATACGTTGACTCGTCTGGCAGAGAAGTGCGATATTTTTTCAATCGTATACATATGAGATCGGATTTTTATGTATTTTTTATTTTATCCATAGAGTAAGCAAATAATTCAAAGATTTTTTTCTGGCGGAAAATCCTCTGCGACGAGAATTTATAAGAGAAAAATATCAATTCTGATTTGATCGAGGAATTCGTGCGTGAAGAGAAATCGCGAGAAATCTTTGCGACGCTCTGCAATATCATGGAGATATATGAATAATCGTTAATTAATTCCAAGCACGGCGCGTGCAAAACGACCCGTCGGCGAAAAAGCACGCCCGCCTTATATTCTCAATTTTTTATCTGCATATGTAACGAGCATAATAAATACCAGAGGCGGTTACCATTTGGTGACGCGAAGCGCGTAGCAACGAGAGCAAGCATTTTTTTTCTCTCCTGCCTTATTGTCCCGCCCGAGCGCGAGCGTTTTATCTGGCGTAGCAAAACGTGGAAGCAGTTCTCTATCATGAGCGGAACGTTTTATCAGATAAAGTCGCGCTATCGGTCTCGGCAGATAAGGGAACGGTGACAGGCTGACGATGACACACGGTGCCCGTGCTTTCGGAAGTGTACGTGTCGCTCCGGCTATTTTTTTTTCCTGTTCTCCATCACGCGTTATTCTTGCCTCTGTTTTCCATCTCGTGTGGAAAATAGCTAAATAAAGTAAGTAATATCATTAATAAAAATTCAACTAAAAAAGTCGAATTGTATAATAAATATTGGCATATGATATGAAAATATGGAATGAAAATATGTACAATAATAATAACTAAAAAGAATTAATGATCTCTCTATAATTTTTAAGATTCGCTTTACGATTAAATATTTGAAATAAACCTTTATAAAAGTCGTCGATCATTCGTATGGATGGATATCAGTTAAATATCGGAGAATCAATAATGTTTTTTTCGTGATCGTTATCAGATACAAAATTCAAAGCGCACTTGATTAAATAATCACAGGTCATATCTCTGAACGAGCACACTAGCGCCGCGCATTCGTCCTAATCCTGTTTGCACTTTAGCCGTAACCCTAGTTCGCCTCTCTTAAGTCCTCCATTATTCTATATTGAATTGCACATAAATCTTCATAGCAAAAGAACAACTTGGCTTGCTCTTCTACGCGAGTGAAAGAGCACAGAGTAATTTCTCTTCATCTTCTCGCGGTAGGAGTAGAACGAGCAGCCGGTTTTTTCTTTGGCTTTGCTTGTACTCAGCTGAGAAGTAGATTCGTCTCAATCTCAGTCCGAAAGACCGATAAGAAGGACAACCGAAGGACTATAGCACTAAATAACCGTTTCCTCGATAGATCATGGATACTCTGTATCCGAATCTCTACGAGCGCTTCAAGACCGAGGGCCTTTGTCCCATTTGCTTCATGGAGATGGAACTAATGCCCAGATACTCGTGCATTAACGGACACACCATATGCCACCGTTGCAAGCCTTATTATTACAATTGCTTCACGTGCGCGGCACCGTTGGATGTGGAGATCCTGTCATCACAGAAGAACATATCCCAGCCGTCGCGTTATGACGATTATAATCCTAGCGCGCCATCGATGAATGATTTTCTGGACTACGAAAGGAAAGTTTGGGAACCATTCGTGCCTTCTGAAAATCAGCATCTCGAACCCTGCTCGTATTCTTATCTAGGATGCTGGGTTAAAATACCAGAGCACTTGCGAATGCTTCATGAATCGAGGTGAAAATAAAAGCTGTTCTTATCGTCGTTATCAATTTGTAATCTTCAATTGTCAATCGTATTTTGCATGAATTGCATCCATTTTTAGAGTTCTATAGATATTAACAAGAGTAGCGCAAACACTCATTATCTTTAACTTAATCTAGAAATCAACTATATTAAGAAATTACTGAACGCTCATTGGATAATAAATTAGAATGATGATTGAAAAGGAAAGAGTCAATAGCGAAATGTGATTATCGGTAATCATTAATCAAAAGATTCCGCTATTCTTGTTAATATCTAGAGCTCTGGTTCATTCCTAGCAAACATCAATATTCTAATAGTGATGCGCAATCTTTTTAAGGATATTCTCTATACAATCCAGACAAAAGTTCCTCAAATTTGAAATTGATGAAATTCTATATTTTTATAAATTAAAATATGCGCCGTATTGTGTGTAGGACTTAAATAATGTCAATTAATATAATTTGGCATTATAAATGAATATATTCGTTTATAATGCCAAATTATATTAATTGATATTATTTATATTCGATAAAAAACTTTTGGACGTAAATTTTCCTTGAAATCAACTATAAGAAACAAAAGACGTGCCGCATATTAATAATATTTAATATATATCAGATATCACTTAAAAATCAAAAAGATATATAAACTAACCTTCGTAACATTAATAATTGACATTGTTGCCACGTTTTGAGCAGTCGAAATATGTTATGTAACTCATTCAAAATTTTATATTGCATTAATATCTTGATGAAGATTAGTAAATCGATATAAATTTTTTTTAGAAATGTTGCAAAGTTTTATTTACTCTCAAATAAAGTTAGAAATTGCAATGTTGCTTCTTTATAATTTTGTTGATATAAGTGGGAATATGCTGCTGCTCGGTTAAAATAAAGCGCTGAAAATTGCTAAAATCTATATCAATTAACTCATACTTCAGTATGAATTATACTAAAATAGGTCAACTGATATAAATTTCAGCGATTTTCAGCGATTTCAACGATTTATTTCCATCAGGAATATTCCATATAAGAACTCATGCAAAATTTAATTGGATAGCTTGTAAACTAGACAGAGAATCAGGTTTTATCTGAAGACATATGTCTTTAGATAATAAATAGCACCAATTTATTAAATTTTCGAGTTATTGTCAATGTTAGAACATTAACGCCAGTACATCCTTAATCTGAGGGCCATTTTAAGAAATATCAAAATCTTGCAGGTCGCATAATGTCTATTTGGCATAATATAATTCACTATACTCATATAATTTTATTATATATAATTTTATTATATATAATTATTATATTATATGTATGAGTATAATTTCTTTATTAAAATATTAAGATACAATGTATATCTGTTTCTTTATTCCAGTTTTATTTATTTTGATGATTGTACATGATCGTACACTTTGCATAAAAATAATTATGAGAACTAGGGAATACGCCGAATATCCGGTATTATCCAACAGTTTTTTTACTATCGACCGGATAGCCGGATATCATCCGAGGACATATCCGGTTGAAATTTGATATTATAAAATTGTTGATTCTTATACAAATAACATGTTCTCCAAATAAATATACATATTCATGGTGCTAATATCTTATACATTGTTGCAAAATTATCACAATCTGTTTCCCTATAGATTTTTTTTTTTTAGAAGACTCTCGGATATTCGACTCGAAGAAATTGTCTTCTCGGATATTCGATCGGATTCCAAATATTTGATGTTATATTTTGCCCGGATATCTAATATCCGGTATCTAATAATGTTACTATCCGATGCATTCCTAATGAGAATGATTAATTTTGAATTTTATCTCATCAATAAAGAAACAAAAAGTAAAGAAAATTTGTAAAAATCAAATATTTTTGACAAAGATGTCATTTATTTATTAAATATAAGTTACATTTTCAAATATAAATTCTTAAAGATTTTTTTAAATATACCTAAAAAATAAAAATGTTAAACTGTTACGCAAAAAAATGTTATTATTTTAATACATTGCCTAAAATAAAAAATTATAATTTTATATTTTCGACTATGAGCAGACACAGAGGATCGCAAAAAATTAATTAGCGAGCTACAAATTATGCATCACTACTCTAATATAACACAATATGTAATATATTATAATCAAAACTTTCTCTAACACACGAGTCACAGTTATATATTGTTGAACAGGAAATTGTAACTAGCAATTAATTATGGTTCTGTTAGTTTGCTAGATGAATGCTAAGATACCAAATCATAATTTCAGGTGTCAGTTTCGACCGTACTTGGAGGAGAAACACATGCCAACCGATCTTCATCATGGCCATGATGATTTGGTAGATTGTTCGTACTCTGCAGCAGGATGCAAGGTACGAACAGTGCCGTGGAGACGCAGCATTCATGAACAGTATTGCATCTATAAAAGCAAGGACATGTTTCAAACTGTGAACGATGTGAGCGATGATTTCGCGTCTGCGACAATCGTCGATAACGATTATGGCGGCGATCCTGAAGAATTGGTGCAATGCAAGTTTAAGCAATATGGTTGCATGGTGAATATTCCGAGGAGACGAAAATACATACACGAGCAGAAATGCAACTACAAGAACCATGAAGGAAACGTATTTCAGAATACGAACGATATGAGCGATGGCTTCACATTCTCGACGATCACCGATAACAATTATGGCGGCGATCCTGAAGAATTGGTGCAATGCAAGTTTAAGCAATATGGTTGCGTGGTGAATATTCCGAGGAGACGAAAGTACATACACGAGCAGAAATGCAACTACAAGAACCATGAAGGAAACGTATTTCAGAATACGAACGATATGAGCGATGGCTTCACATTCTCGACGATCACTGATAACAATTATGGCGGCGATCCTGAAGAATTGGTGCAATGCAAGTTTAAGCAGTATGGTTGCATGGTGAATATTCCGAGGAGACGAAAATATATACACGAACAGAAATGCAACTACAAGAGCTATCAAGGAAACTTGAACAGATTCGATTATTCCGCGCAACCAGAATTAGACCCTAACGAGCAAGTAGAATGCAGGTGGTCCGAATATGGCTGCCGAGTCAGACCGAAACGTTATCATAAGCAAGTTCACGAGGATAAATGTAATTACAGGAAGGAATTGCCATGAAGCAGCGCTATATTTAAGCCAATCTTAAGATACTCTCATGAGTACAACTACAATGTTTTGCCTATCATTAATTATATCGAATTAAACTAATGATATCATATTCAACAAATTAGTGTAATTCTCGCAACACGCTAATGTTTATCAGAGCAAGATTACAAAATATCTTTTTTTGAATTGTGATTTGTCTTTTCAGAGATATTGATCAACATACTCAATCATTCTCAATCTCTGAATCGCGTAACACAAAGACGTGGAAACTGATTGTTTCTTCTCATAATTGTTGAATTAAATGGAATGCTAGTTGAAAACGCGTACATTCCTCCCTTCTATAGCGCTGAACAACTAAAGTGTCGATACCAATAGATACAAATAGAATCGACAATTCTATTAATAGATAACAAGCCGCGAGATAACAACAATTAAAAACAACAAAGTGAATCCGATCATCGACGACGCGAAGATGCGGAGCAATTTTGTGAACGCATTAACGATTTCCAGGAACTCGCAGGGATAATACAGAAGAGGATTATTTACTCTCTCCGCCACTCTCCGTTCCCGCGCGAGATAGCGAGACTTCCGCCTGTCGTTCCGGGGATCATCTTGAGCATGATCGTCCGGAATGAGGGAGTGATGGCGTGGCTGGGATATCCAACACCTGCAGGCTAATGGTGGGTCTCCCTGTACGCCCACGATCGCATCACTATCGCTCGACGAAACGACACTTACACGTTTATAACATCCCATTTATAACGTCGGCATAGGCAAAGGATGACGCGCAATTCTGTCTCGATGCGTGATTATAGATGGTATCCTGTTGTCTCGAAGTCAATAAAATATATCAATATCAAAGACAAATTGCGCATTTTATCCATTTTATTTGTAGTCATTTTATTCGTATAATAGTTAACCACATGTATCATTTTCTACATATATCATATTATCACATATTTACCACACTAGTGTTATAAAAAGTATTGCTATAAAAATGAACATATTGTAACAATTAAAATGCTAAACACAAGAAGTTTCACAATAATAAGAAAAGTAGTAGTTTCATTAATAAAAATTATAGCATATAGCAGAGTAAAAGTAAACTCGGATACGGCATATTAAGAGTGGCTCCGAAGAGTTAAAGAAAAATTAGATAATTTTTTTTACAGATATTTGTAACATTTGAACGATTTTGAATGGGCATTCTTTGTCAAAAATTATTGTCAAGTTTAGAAAAAAAAATAATTTACGTTAGATTATTATGTACATTTATAGAAAATCATATTGAAAAATCAGCGACACTGTGAAAACGAAGGTTGAAATCTATTTCTTACGCTATGAAAATCTGAGACGGTCCCATGGGTGAAGTACGCCTTCGTTTCTACTAAATAAATATCGAACGGATCGTGTCGCGAAGAAATTCTTGTCCGTATACAATGCGAGCGGCCTGTCATCTCGTTTGGACAGAACTTTAACGTTCGATACTGTTCCGACGGACAAAGGGATGCAGGGACTGTTTTACATAGTAAAGACCAAGAAGGACCTTTGACCAGCGAATGTCTTAAAGAGGATACTACATCAGACTTAGGTTTATAATCGTACAAAAAGGGAATGCCATTTCAAATTATGCTCAGAAACAATCGGGGTGATTCTTATTCAAGACAATGCCTAACTCCACGATAGCTTCCCTTTACCTTCTCTAATTGCATTTCGGATTATTTGCTGATTTTTAATTAAACAATTTACAAAGAGATTGCGCACCTTAAAGACGATACTTTATTGTAACTGATTTTGTTTTGAAACATCTGCTACTTCTAATTCATGCACATAAATTTATTTCGCGCGATTGTATATTATAAAAAATTTAAATTTATTTTATGCGTGTTCGGCTTTGCTTCGTTGTTTCTTAGAATGTAAATACTTTCACGTGCGATCTCATATTTTTTTCGTAATAAATAAAAACAATTAAAGAAACATATTAAATTTATAATAAAAAAAGATGTCCGCTTTCTACTTCAATAAATCAAAAAATCGCATGACACCGTATTAATATACATATTTGTTATTTCTATGTAAAACAGCGAAAGGAAAAGTTGTTGATGGATAAGGGGCGATTATCAGACGAAAGTTAATGGCCTTTTCTCCTCATTAAAACCTCTCTCGCATAAATTAATAAGCCGATCAGCGTTAGATGATGTAAAATAAGACGGCACCTCGTCACCATGTATTTAAGAAGCTAGGTGGAATAAATGCAGACACGACAAGTTAAAACCGGCTGCTCCGTGGGATTGAGTGAAGGGATGAAAGGAGAAGATGCGAGTAAATTGCACCCCTGGGGACGAGCCTGATGAGTGGCGCGAAAGACGCAACAAGCCAGAAGTCAGCCAACTTTAATTAAGACAACATTGCAGACTAGATGTAGGCACGAGACTTTATATAAGATCTCGGATCTTTAACATTTTTTCAGCTATAAGTTTTTAGGACGTAATATTTAGGAATAAAACGATAGGAATATAACACATTTCGTTGTCACTATGTACATTCTAAAAATTTAACAATTTATCTTTTAATTTGTTACATAATTTTATTGTAGTTTAAAATCAAATTTTTTTAAAAGAAAAGAAAGAATTAAAAAATTATTATCTTTCGATTTTTAATATTAAATACTTTTGTAACCAATTGTAAATTCAAATTGCAAGCCTTCAAGAAAAAGAGAAAAAGAGAATCAGGTCGATTTAAAATTTAATAAAGGATAAAATTTTATTACTATATTTGCCACGCTCTTAACTTAATTTTCAACAAATCTTTTGAACTGCGCAACTTAAAAGCTAATGGTCTCTCAATGCTTTTGTTGAAAAAAAATTAACTTCAAATTAATTAAAAAATTTCTAGATAAATGACTCGGTAGATCTAAAGTATCTCTTATATTATAATTAAATATCGGATTTTTATGCAATTTTATATTTTTTTTAAAAGCAGATTAGGAAGTAAAACCAAAATAGAAATTTGTCTTGTCGAAAAAATTATTATTGTAAAAATTATGTGATATCAAGAAAGTATCCGACCTCTCTTTCCTCTCTCTCTCTCTCTCTCTCTCTCTCTCTCTCGTCTCTCCTCTCATTCCCCTCCCTCTCTCTCTCTTTCTAGTGAGATGTGTTTCTCTCGAGATGTGTCTCGATCTGCAGCACGGTTATAGATCATCGCGTGTATGCTCATAAAATATATCGATAGCGCAGGGGATTTGGGAAGATCGTGTTCCCACGTAAATATCTCACGCCAAAAAATGACGGCGTTCGTATCTTTCGACTGCCGCCTGCGTATCGCATGGCACGCGAGCTCCATAATTCACGTTAGCGTTGCACGCCGACCGCGTGGGAGAGCCGACCATCGTATCTCAATTTCGTCAGGATATAACTACCGGGACATTAATGTAACGAACAAATCCGTGTAACCGTTTCTGATCGGAGCATCTGATCGCGCGGCACGTACATGATTATCATCCAAGCGAACTCGAGAAATAAAGATTTGCGAGGAGTAAACATCCATCAGACGGAAATCCAGTGTGGGAATCGTAACACATCAGAATAAGCGCAAGGATGATTATATGTAACACTGAAAACATTATTCGCTAAAATGTTCTTTTCTCGTTTCTAATTAATCTTCTGAAGCTGAAATTTGTAATACAATCAATGCTGGGATGCTGGATTTGTAAAACTCATTTAATTTATGTCAATTAAAAGGTAGTAATTTCAAGAAATTACAATGATAAAACTTGCATAAAGAGAATAAATACTAATTGTAAGTGTATTTTAATCAAAATAATCTAAATTTATAGATGTAACATAAAAGAATATTGTTTGGCATTTTTAACAAAGAGATTGAAGTGAGTCCGATAAATCTACTATCAATTTCGACGAATAATAAAACGAATAAATAAATTTAAAAATTGTTATATATTATACTTTTGAAGAGAACGGAATTATAAATGAAGATTCAAGATAATGGAAGTCAAATGATTTTTCTGTTATAACGATAAATTAATCGCTAATAAATAGTGCCGATTTCTTAGAAAATCGTAAAGCGTTTAAATTTTAAATATTATTCATTACATTAAAATTTTTTTCATTAAAAATAATATTAAAAAATTATTAAAAATTGATATTATTATTAATACTTACTTCATGATTTGCAAGACAATCTATTCATTCTTTTATTTAATCTATTCATCTTTTCAATCTATTCAATCTATACATTAAGAGTAATTATCATCATATAGATGACAACTTTTCAGAAAAGCAATCATTAATAAGCAGAAACGATCACAGAGAAACTTTCCAGTATTCGTCGACTAATAATTAACGCTATGATATTTTATATTTCAGGACACGTCCGTGGAACAAACGATTTCTGTGTTCGGTGGCGACAAACTTTTTCCCGCGGTATTAAAATTCTTAATACAACCCTTTCGCGCTAGAATGGGGATGAATGCGAGAGTACATTCATGACGGTGGAAAGACAGGCCGAAGAGGAAGAGGTCTACGTCTCGAGAAAAAAGCGAATTTAATGAAACGAGAAAAACCCCGGTGAAGGTGTATTTGTAATGCAAATATCTGACTCTCGGAGGGACGGAAAAATGAAAGCGTCGAAACAGACGGGAACGAAATCGAGCGTCCCATCGCTCTCGCTAATCCGATTTCGAATTCTTTCGCCCACTCACTCGCTCGAATCACGTTCTCCGACGCTGAGCAATCTTAACAAAAAAATCCTAATTTTCCCCTCCTTAATTACCTCGGGGATTCAATAAAATCTTAGAAACAAGAATCGCAATTATCGACAATTCAGCAAAATTTTAGAAACCGCAATATAGGAATGTATAGGAATTATTTAAAAATCACACACGGAGAAAAATGTACACAATATTATACACTAAAATTCTAGTAAACTTTATGGAATTATCAAGTTTATATAGGGATACGTGCTTTATGTAAAATTTTCTTTACATTTCTAATAAATGAGATTGTCGTATGATAATCATTTTTACTTTATCGACAAAAATTTTTTCTTAGCATTGATAAAATTTATTTTACTGCATAGTAAAATAAATATATACATGTATAAAAGTTCTGAAAGTTGTTTGTGCTCGTCAATCTTGCAAATAGTACAATTTACTTTACTGTATAATTTGCTTTACTGAAAGTATGATTTATTTTACTATAAAATAATAGTCACTTGAAATGATGTACTATAATCATAATATACTTTTTATCTTAAATCTCCGATATTTTTACTTTTAAATAAAATTTATCACAAATTCAACAGTAAAAATAGCCAGAATATTTTTACTAGTCTTGTAAGATATCTATCTCTCAATTATTTTTCTCCATGCAGTTCAGTCTAACGTTGCCAAACAATTCTATCTCATGAAACACGCATGTTAGTGTCATTTTTACGCGATTAAAATCATAGTGTTTGATATTTCAATATAGAACGACATTTGCGACAGCGGAATGGAAGATTGGTGTTTAGAAGAAGGAATCGTTATTTACTGAAAGTCGACTATTGTCCCTTTTCAACGGACGCTTTGTCGAATTAAGAGCTTTTGTCGTAGAGAACGCCTGGGGAGAGCATCGCGCTCGTCCGCGCGTCTCTGTTCGTTTCATGACATTTTCCATCCATTTCTCTTTCTCCATGATTTTGACGTGCTTCTCCCTTTCTGCCGGTCGCGTCAAATGAAAGCACTTTTCCGCCGAATAGACAAAATAAATCGAGTCGCGCATGACAATGCCGTGATAATTTCGCAACAATACGCACTCGCCCATCATCGGGCGCATGCACGAATAAATACGCACTCGCAGGAAACGCGCGCGAAAAACGGACGAGACATCGGTAGGGTTGAAATACCCGTCGCGTTTCTTTTCCAAACAGCGTAACGGTTGAACGTCAGGGTGAATCAGCG